TGAAGCCTGTCTTTATAAAGGGCAAGGAAGAAGAAAGCTTGCTCTCTGCCTGAGTGCCCTCCTTTTTGCTGGCAAGTCCATGCCTTCACTGGCATTAGAGTCTACTTCTTTGGGATTCCAGTATGTAAAAGACCAGCAGAGACATCCAGCCTCATGGACTGAACAACCGCTGGATTCTTGGGCTTTCCATTGGCAGACAGCCACTGTTAGACAAGGTGGACCAATGCCATGAGCCATTCTAATAAATCCCATTACATATGTATGTCTAAGAGAGTGATTCTTTACATTCTGCTCCTCTAGAGAACCCTGACTAATACAGCCCTTATCCTGCCATCAAGGATCACCTTCTCCACTGGCTCATTCACCATTGTTATCACCATCATAATCATCAAACTAAAGAAGGCCCAAGTGCTGTGGGACAATGGTCTTGTACCATGTAAAGATTTGTCACTTGTATTGGTTTAACAAAACACCGATTGGCCAGTATCCAAGCAGGAAGTATAGGCGAGGCAACCAGACTAGAAGAATTCTGGGAAGAGGAAAGGCAGAGACACAGTCACAAGTCAGATGCAGAGGAAGCAAGATGAGAATGCCTTACTGAAAAAAGGTACCAAGCTACATAGTTAAACATAGACAAGAATTATGGGTGAATTTAAGTCGTAAGAGCTAGTTAGTAATAAGCCTGAGTAATAAGCCAAACAGTTTATAATTAATATAAGCCTTGGTGTGTTTATTTGAGACTGAACAACTGTGGGACCCAGCAGGACAGAAGCTTCTGTCTATACCCAAGACTTTTGCTTCTGCCCGACACCCTCCTCTGATCCTTCTACAGGCCCCACCCATAGTCACTTCCTCAAAGAGGCCCTTGCTGACCACCTGACAAGAAAGAGGCCCTGTACCCCTCTCCCCATCCCCCACCCTGGCTCCCTACAGTGGTTTATTTTCTTCACGGTGTTTGGTAACATCCAGACATCTCCCTTCTGAGCCTGGCCAGTGGTTACGTATTTGGTTCCCACACTGTGCACACACCATGGAAGCATCACATACATTGGCCCACTGTTTCCCTGAACAGTCTGGAGGATGAAGGCTTCCAAACACGTTCCCAGTGGTTGTGTGTGTGGGGGAAGGATAAATGACATGGCCAACATACCAAGTGTGCAACTACTTGTTCCTGGCTTAGAAATGAAAACAATTTGAAGACAGAAATTAATTCATCCCCTTTCATATCCTTGGAGGTCCACATAAGTTAATAAATCGAGCAAGATATGAGGGAGGGCAGCAATGGATGGGTAGGTGGATGGGCGAGTCAACGGATGGATGGATAGATAAACTGACAGTTGGGTGGATAGAGGCATAGCTGCATGGGTGATCATTAGGGGCACGAACAAACACAGAACACCACAGCACACAACCTCCGACACGGCTGGCAGCACGCGTTCACTCTAGCAGACAAACCCTGGTGTGGCTAGTTCAATCCAGAAAAGAAGAAGAGGCTGTTTGTGGCTGTCCCTAGTCCTCCGCACCCAGAGTGAAAAAGGAGGCAGCTGGTGCTGGTGGGTACTGACCTCACAAGCCAGGGTGTGCTCAACCCTGCTACCATTGGAGTCCGCCCTCACGCCCCTATGCCCAGTGCACTGCCCCGGCTCCCCCAGGCACAGCAGATTACTGTAGGCTCCTGACTGCCTGGACCTCCACTCCAGCCTGGCCTCCCCTCTTTGAACCCTGTTTCCCCAGCAGGCTGGACCTTAAAGGCTGACTAAATCCCTGACATCACCCAGCACCCCTGTACCACAAATCCTAGGTAGGGTTTCTGGACTTTGAAGTCACACAGGCTTGGCACACAGTGGACACATAAAGAATGAACATATAGCTAAATAAACCAGGAAGAGCCGGTTTGTGTTTAGTCATGGGGAGGCCATTCTTGGACTTCCCATAGGTTCATGCCAATGTGAGAACCCCATAACTGCTGACTTATGACCTCGCAGTCACAGGAGGGGCTGCTGGGTAACCTGTGCCGGAGGTCAGGGTCCACACTGAGTCACCATGTTCTATAATCTCTAGGAGACATAAGCCATGGGCAGAAGGGTGGCCATACCTGTGGTAGGATACACCACAGGATCAGGAGAAGACATTTCCCCTTCGAGGACTCAGTTGAACTCCTAAGGTCGGGGACACTTTCCTTTCACAGTAAGACAGCTCGCAGGAGCAGACAACAGCAATGACAGCAGCAAGCAGCTGTTCTGCAGCTGGCTGTGCCAGCACCCAGTGTGGGCGGAGCAGAGTGTCCTGCCTCCCTCTGCCCTACAGGGCAGCGGGTGGGCAGCAGTGGGTGTGGTCACGCAGATTCGCTGATTCAATCAGCCCTGGGGGTCCCCGGGCTGGCTTAGATATGATAGACAGAACAACCCACAGTCAACGTTGGCTGAGTCCCAGGACTCATATGTTCCCTTTCCTGGAGGGGCTACAGTGGGGAGCTGGCAGGAGCTGTGGGAAGGGGAGCAGGGTGAGGACTACCAGCCTGCCCAGCCCAGCCTGGGGGAGGAAGTGCCCAGTCCCAGGCAACACATGTGGGCCCTGGTTATAGCTCTTCTCATGCTGTGTGGCCTAAGGCAGGTGGCTGAGCCCCCTCTGAATCTTGCTTTTCTTTAGAGTAGGAAGGGGTTCGTTTACCCGAAATGGCAGGGGAGGTGGGCAGCACTCAAGTAAGGATGGACAAAGCCTGAGATAACAAAGGCTAGGGTGTAGTTCAGTTGGCAGAGTGTCACCTTGGCATCTACCAGGCTCTACCGCCCATAGACAGTGCAGGGAGGCACACACCTGTAACCCAGAATTCAGAAGGCAGGAACAGGTGAAGAATGTTCAAGGTCATCTTTGGCTACATAAAGAGTTTGAGGCCAGTCTGGGCTACATGAAATAAAAACAAAACTCCTAAAAGAATGAAGATATGTGACCCTAGACGAGCAAGCAACAGCAGGAAGTTACGGACAAACAAAGACAGACTGACAGCCAACATTCAACAGACAGAGTTCATCAGACAAACTGACAGCCAAAGTAAATCAGACAGCCAACATTTATCAGACAGACTAACAGCCAACGTTCTCCAGACAGACTAACAGCCAACGTTCTCCAGGCTTCCCCAACCATCTCAGGAGAACTCACAGATGTCACCAATCCCCAGGCCTCATCTGAAAGGACATCCTAATCAAATTAGGTCCTCACTGTGGGCCTCAGTTTCCCCATTTCTACAGAGTTGAACAGACACAAAGAAGGGGAGAAGGAGAGGGAGAGGACGGGGAAGGAAAGAGGAGGAAAGGGGCCTCCTCAACCAAAGCATTAATGAGGAGTCCTCATTTGCTCTGAGACCAGACCAGCTCCGTCCCACAGGAGAAACTGAGTCCCAGATGCCACAGCTCCGTCCCACAGCAGAGACTGAGTCCCCAGAGGCCACAGTTCCGTCCTACAGGAGAAACTGAGTCCCCAGAGGCCACAGCAGCTGAAGCTGGTCTTTCCTTTCAGATGCTCCAGGTCGACCAGTCCATCACAGGCTATGGGAGGAGTCAGGAGGGGGTTGGACACCCACTGCCTCCTTGTTGCTGCTTCCTAACACTGCAGGCATGAGACCAGAGACCAGTCCTGCAGGGTTGAGTCCTGGTCCTTCCTTCAGTCTGCAGTCTGCAGGAGAGGAAGTCCCACATGCCTCAGGCAGGGCACAGGGGCCTCAGATCCGGAACAGAGGAGTCAAGGCAAGCCATCCAGGACTCTAGGGACAAAGTCTTCTTGATGGCACAGCGGAAAGAGGAGGAGCCTGCAGCAAGGAGGCCTCCTGCAGGCCAGAGACTGCAGACAGATTCCAGACCTTTTCTCTCCATAACCTTCACCTTCACAGGTACACACACAAGTTTACACTGGTTCAGATAAGGGAGGCGGTGCCACCAGAGAGGGACTAGAGACAAGGGTATCTGAGGAAGGGAACTTTCAGAGATGGTCAAGTGTCACATGCCTGTAAGGCTGCCACTGGCATCTAGGCACGAGGGCCACTCCCAGGGCCACTCAGTAGATGACCGTCCCACCGGCCACACACCCTGTTACTCCACCCTACAATAACAGCAAATATGCCCATTTTACAGCTGAAGTCTCTCTAGACCACGGACATGGGAAGGTATGGGAGGCGGGACTCGAGCCACCCTGGGCCACAGCTAGCCTGGGCCGTGCCTTCAGGGCACCTTCCGAGCAAGGAGAGAACTTGTCCATTTACAGACCACGCACAGAAATCAACCAAATCACCAGGGGAGCCTGGGTCCAGGCTCCGAAGGTCAGAGGTCCTTTTCCCAGGTCCTTCTTAAGACAGCATGGAAGTCGAGAGAAGAAGAGTCGGCCAAAGAGACACAGCCAACAACCTGCAGCCAGGCAGTGTGGCAGCGTGTCTGCGGGGTGCTCAGAACCATGTCAAGTCCCTCCTGTGTCACCTCCTCAGAGCCCACACCAGCCACATGAAGTAAGGGCTCTTCTCTGCCCACTGCATGGACAGGGACAGAGGATACATGTGTATGGTGATCGTGGGCCCCGCAAGTCTGGAGCTGGCTTTCCACAGCCTCCTAATGTCCCCCATGGGTGCATTTTCTCTGGCCTGGCTCCCTCCGAATTCAACTCCATTCTTAAATCAGCAGTGACACAGGAATCACTAATCCAGCTTTCCCTGCTGAGAAAATCAAAGGGTGCAGACACTAAACTCTCAAAACCTCAAGGCTGTTGAAAAGACACAGCACTGCAGCTTGAACCCAAGACTTTCACCAGCCTCTGTGGCCAGCTGCAGAGCCCCTCGTGCCAAAACCCCGAAAGCAGCGAGGGTTTCCCCAGCACAGAGGGTCTGGTAACCCAGTCCCCAGCTGGTCATCCTTTGTCAGGCAGCTGTCAACCTGAACCCTCCACACACATTCACAGAACCTTCCAACACAGACCAAGCCTGTGAGGCCCTCTCCAGCGGTACGACTGTCACTCACCACAAAGGGTCCACTCTTCTTGTCCTTGCAAAAGCTGTGACTTCGCCTGGGGACAGAGGCAGCGGGGGACACCTGCCGGACAGGCTGCTGGCCGTCCTGCTCCAGGTTCTGCGGAGGCATCTGAGATAGAGAACACAAGGAAAGAATTTTAGTGGGAACCCCTGTTCACAGGACAGGTGTAGCACAGCATCAGAAACCCCCACTGTCATGGTCATGGGTAACATCTGGGTAGCAGGTCTTAGGCCCAAGTGGCTCAGTTTCACAACTCAAGTAATTCTTTAACCTCTCCGACCTCAACCATGTGGGAACAAACAAGGGGAAACAGAAATTAGACGCTTGCCCAGAACCTGCACGACATAGTCCAGCCACCAGGGGGCAGGCATGCCTGGCTCGTGGGCCTGGCCCACGGGGCCTCCAGTTTGCCAGCCAGTCACTGCCCATGTTGATCTTGTGGTCCTATTTTGAACATCTTCGTGGAGGGCATGTAGTCTGAATTCCTCTCAGCTACACACTGGGGAACCCATCACAGCCTAGCACACCCAGGAGTCCAGAAAGTGCTACCTGCCACACTCTACACAGATAAGCCAGCAGGCCCAGAGAGGGCAGGTTAGTGACACACAGCATCAGAAAGGCGAGGCTAGCCCCTTTCCCCCCATCCCTATTCTTGACTCCCTAGACCTCTCTTGGCCTTCCTGGCTACTTGCTCACATCCCTTGAGCACCCTAATCCTGCAGGGCCTTCTCTTCTGTTTCTGTGTCCTTTCTGCTGGGCTCATTTCTATGCTCGGGTGGCATTAAACAAATCCCACCCACATGTCAGTCTGGCCTGTTGGTGGCAGTCTTGAAGGCCAATCTAGACTACGGTGTCAGAACCTCAATACCTGATGAAAAGTATAAAATGTACTGAACTGAGATGAGGAACGGCAAAGAGTTCCAGGCTGATACTTTTTTATCTTCAAACAGACCCTGTGTCCTGAAGTTAAAGGCTCCTGTGGCAGCCCTGGACATGAGCGCAGCTTACTGAGGATACTCTGGGGTGGATTACACACCAGACTCTTGCCATGGTAAAAATTAAGTAAATTCCTGTACACCAAACAAACAAAAAGAAAACAAAAACAAACAAACCAAACTTCACACCCTGGACCAAAACTAGGGCAAAAGAGAACAAGATATTAATGGAGAAGCTGAAAGTAGAAAATGTAAAAGGAAACAAGCCTCGTATTAGCCAGTGGCTTCCAAGACATGGCACAAAAACACAAGTAACAAGGAGAAAAGGACTTGGTCAACCCCAAAACACGTGTGCTTAAAGAACACCATGATGACAGTGAAGAATCCACTCACAAACAGGAAGAGAGTACGCAAGTCAGCCATCTTATTCCCACAACATATAAAGAGCAACAGCAACTCAACAACAAGGAAACAAGTCAATGGAAAATAAAGTTGGATCCAAATAGTAATTACTCCAAAGAATTATACCAACAGCCAAGTGAGCAACAGAATGACGCCAGGCTAAGGAGAGTCATCAGGAGCAGAGGAGAGCCATGTTTACCAAGTCCTTGGCTTGCCCAGACGACAGACAGATGAGGGTGGCTTATAAAACGCAGGACTTTCTGGGGTGACAAGGACTGTGTTTGAAAGAACATGGATGAAACACACCCTCCCACAAGGCTGCCCTGGGTCCCCAGGACAAGCCCACCTGGGCTGGGCGTCTGCACCGTAGCTCCCACCTCCTCCCCAGGTCCTGTATGGCCTAGGTCTGTCTGGTCATTCAGATGGCTCTTTTCCAGACAGTTCCCCACCATCCCAGCACTACCTTCTGCCTGCCAGGACCTACCAGTCTCCAGGGACCTCACTTGCTCACTGGCTTCAGGTTGCTGGTACCTGGGCAGTCACTAGAATGTTCTACAGGACCAAAGCAATCACGCAAGCTTGGACACGGCCAGGGCAACAGAGACATCAGATTTGAATCTAATTTAAACTAAATAACACACAAACAGTACCTGCCACGCCACCTGAGCGACGAGCAGCTTCAAATATGGCTTCTTCTATTCCTCTCCTGCCATCCTCCTGCCTCAGCTACCAGAATGGTGGTACAACAGGCATGCCTCACCATGCCTGGCTAAGACATTCCTTTTTTATAACTGAATACTATTCCACTATAGGGCTATACCACATTTTATCTTCCCAAGGACCTTTTCTGAGACGGGGTCATACGCAGCCCAGGCGGAACTCTGGAAGATGACCCAGGCACATGTCACCCTGCCTGACCAGCACATTTGCTCCATGAACACTGAGCAGAAGCCCAAGCTCTAAAAGGCATTATATGATTTTTGAACGTGCATTTATTATTACTGCGTGGGTATGATATGAGAGGGTGGGGGCATGTGTGCCATGGGCGTGTGTGGGGTCAGGAGTCCATCCTCTCCCTCCACCTTTCCAAGGGTCGCAGGGATCAACTCCAGGTCCCCAGGCTCACCCTCTGAGTCACCTCACCAGCCCCTTCCTGTTTCCATATCCAGAGCAGAACTCTGTACAGTCCTCTCCTTCCATTAAAGGGAATTGTCACCCTTTGCTCTGAGCACGGGTTCTCAACCCTTGTGCCTATAGTAAAACATCTTAACTAACCACCCCCAAAGTGTAGGAGTACCCCAGAACACTGGCATGTTTCACACTAACTATATCCCCCATGTCCCCTGGCTCTAGAGCAGGGTCAAATGTGACCTGGCTCACTCTGCATAGGACTGCCCCGCTCCCTGGAGGATTCAAATGGAAGCTATGAGTTCTGCCTAAATGGAGCGATATAACCCATCCCAGAGTGACAACAAAATGTCCCCAGAGGACTGGGGATGTAGGCTCACCTGCCCAGCAGCCATGCCAAAGGTGTCTAAGGGGCATGGCTCACAGACTGGGAGAGGCCACCCTGTTCCATCCAGCTGGACCTGCACTTCTGATTCTCCTGCCTCCTGAGTAGCTGGGGTTTGGGGTCTGCACCACAAGGCCTGGAAGGCAAGCATTCTGTGAGGGGCCTCGCTTCCTGTGCCCCCACATTCCCTAGATGGCTGAAATTCGCCTAAGCACCCAACAGAAATACACCACTTGTGTGTGTGTGTGTGTGTGTGTGTGTGTGTGTGTGTGTGTGTGTGATGTGTATGTACACAACCATGGAATATTTCTAGCTCCTAAGGCATACAGTGCCATACCAGGCTGCAGAAATCCTCACCAGCTGCAAAGAGGAAGCCTCCCTGCTCCCTCTGCTCAGGGAGGTCTGCAGAGTTTAGAGCCCTGAGCGGAGGCCTCTGGCTTTTAATTTTCATTCATTTGTTTGTTTTTGCTCTTTAAGATCAAGAACCAGAGAGACTCAAGGAAGCACAGGTAGGGGTCAGGAGGGTCAGGCCTTGAAGGACAACCTGTGCTACAGGAGACCCTGACCCCAAAGTCAACCAAACAAAGGCCTTCCTGCAGGAGAGAAGCAGGAAGGGAGAAACAGGAAGCAGGTCTCTCCATTCCTCAGCCTTGAGAAAGCTGATCCCTGACAACCAGCCCTCCTGGGGCCTGGGCACTCAGGGCCCCTCTGCAGCCCTGGCTCAGACCTGAGGTGCTGGCGGGCTGAGCAAGTGTCACCTTCCACAGCTCTTCCCCCTCACGCTGCTAGCACAGCTCGGGTGAGCCCCTCACAGGAGCACACAGGCTGCAGCACTCTTCAGCCCCCCACAGCAGGGCTTCAACTGCCATCATTCCTGAGCGGTGTGGGCACAGGAGGCACCAGAGGCACGGAGAAGTTCCATGGCAAGTATGGAAGGTTCTGCATGTGGCACTTAGAACCCTGGGCCCCCAGAAGAGCTGCAGGTTTGAAGTGGCATCCCCCTCGAAACTCCTCACAGTCCCCTTTGCCCAGGCTAGCCCCCTGGTTCCTCTCCCACAGGCTTGGGGATGAGAAACTGTTTGCCGCAATCCTGGGTTGTGCTCTACTTTAAAGACACTGTGACCTGAAACTGCAGGATAATGCGGAAGGGAAGAAGCCAGCCCTGGGTACTGGAACTGCGGGAAATGAGTCTCTCTTCTCCAGGAATGTCCAGCCTGTGACATTTTGTCACAGCAGAAAACACTGCTCAGGCTAGGCTGTTGCCTCCCGCTGAATCACAGGACAATGGCTATGAAGGACTCTGCAGCTTCCAGGCCTCCGTCCCTGCTGTGGCCATCCCAGTGTCTCCTCAGGGAGTGACTGAGTTCAGTGCCTCCTCCAGGATGCCTTCCTGGGCCACTCCTCCAGCACTTCATTGAGCATCATATAACTTCCAGGTCCCCATCACCCAGCCAAGGCAAAAAAAAAATTCTCTCCAAGGGCTGTGCTGGGTTCAGACTTCCTCCCCGCTTTGACCACAGTGGTCAGCATCTCATAGGCATCTGACCAGATCTGGGCTCAGGCATCTTTGCCTTTTGCTGTGTGACCTGTAATAGGTTTCTTAGTCTCTCTGAGCCCTGTTTTTTGTGTTTTACTGCCTATTTTACACCTGTAGCAGACCTTGTCTGCTCCCTAGTACTCAGGACAGATACATGAACTGGTGTAAAGCCGTCCTCCTGTGTGCAGACAGCCTTGCTGTCCATCAGAATGGGAGAGTCTCACATCCCCACACACAGGCTTAGAGGACAATGGGAGGAAGCAGAAAATCCATACTTCGGGCCCTCTGACCCTTGACCCCATCAACTCACTCATGTTATGAGCTTCCCAGAGGTTCTCAGGGCACCAAGTTTTATTTGCACACACACTGGTATCAAATTCCTTGTCACCTTCCCAATCCCCAGCCAGTCCCTCTGGTCACCACCTAAGGTACCTAAGACAGGCTTCTGCCTCTGGGGAGGACCCAGAGTTGGGGTAAGCCAGCTTGTAAAACCCAGTAGGCCTCTTACAATCATTCATACACCAAAGATCTTTCTGGACGCTCATGTACTTAACGCTGGCTCTGGGGAAGACAATAAGGAAGCTGGTATAGAGCAGGCACTCCACGCTGCTCACGCAAAACGTTGGCTCTCATCCCCACCCCAGGCCGAGTGCTGAACCCACAATCCACGGTCAAGCAGACAGAGCAAGGGACTAACTTGGCTGGGAAGGTTTTCTAACAAACCATCTTATGACAGGAAAATCCACCTGAAAATGTGATTTCTCTGAGCAAATGATGTCACTTTCTCAAGGCTGTCCCAGGACAAAACTGGTCAGGGCTGGGGCTAAGTACTAGCTTCACATGCCCTGCCCAGCAAAAGAAGGGAAGTGGGGAGAGGATAAAGAGAGGAGGAAGCAGAAACTTCATGGAGTCTGGAAGGGTCTGCACACCTACCTGTCGGGGAGGTTTGCCTGAATACTCTGCTCCCACAGCCTCCGCCACTCAGTCACACAAAGGCTGAGCCTGACACCCTCGCTTCAGATGCTTAAACATCAGCCAGAATTAAAATGACAAGAAAAAAGCACCGTGGACTAACCTTAGGACCGTCTGGCTTCCTTGCCTCCTTCTGGCAGGGTCCCGTTGTGACCTTGGGTGTCTCAGCAGGGAGACTCGGCTTCCCTCTCCGCTGCCTGGCGTCCTGCATGACCGACAGGCCCTCCCGGACCCTGGCTGGTGGGCCCTTCTCTGAGCAGGCCCTCTTGATGTCCAGTGGTGAGGCTGGTGACGTATAGTCACGTGGGGGGGTTCCCCACCGCACTCCATCACCCTCCGCTCCCTGACTCGTGAACTTCTTTGGCGTCCCTTTCTTCTGGTCAGAGGGAGGTGTCCTGGGGGAGATTCTGTCCTCGCTGTCTGGTTCCTGGGACTTGGCTGGGCCTTGCCTATTCTTTGCCTCCAGGTGCTCACTGGGGGAGGGCTTGCTTTCCAACTCAGCAATGCCTGGGGATTTTTTCCTGGAACCAGCAGGAACAGGGGAGAGTGAGGAACAGTTTTCCCCAGAAGCTGAGTGTGGTGGTGCCCACAGTGGCAGGCCAGACTTGGTGGTCATGGCTGCCCCTAGGGGCTCTGCTGGCTGCTTGCTTGGGCCAGGGGACTGGGGAGTTTTCACAGAGGTCCCCGCTTTTTTTCCAACACTGTCTGACCAGGGAGCTTCATTCAGGCTCCTCCGTCTCCATTCCACCTCCTTGGGCCAACCTGACCTCTCCTGAGGGGAGCCACTGGGCTCGGCTGGAGAACTGCCCCTCTGCTCCTGAGCCTTGCTGAGGTTTCTGCTTGATTGCTCTTTATACTCGGCCATCAGAGCATCAATGTCGAGGACGCCAGACCTGTAGCCATCTCTCACCTTCCCTGGGAATGTCTCGCTGATCACCTCTGTCCTCCTTCTGACCAGGAGACTTTTGGGGCGCCTCAGGACCGGGGAGATTTGTGGGGCACCCACGCCTGAAGATGCCCTGGTCCTGCTGTCCTTCACAGTTTCATCCTCTGACCCTCGATGAATCCCCAGAGCATCCACATCAATAACTCTGTCCCTGGAAGGATCCAGAATCCTGTCCCCAGCAGATGATGGCTGCTCTGTGGCCTTCGCGTGTTTTGGAAGACCCTTTCCTTCTTCATGTTCTCTGCCCTTGGCCCAGCCCTTACTGCTGGCAGGAGCCCGTGGCTCTTCATGGCTAGGAGAAGCCAAAGTAGACGTAAAAGAGCGAGGTGACAGAGGGGGAGTCGTCCTTCTAGGAGGTTCCGACACATTTTCAGGCCCTGGTTTAACAACACTCTTGGCCTTTTGAATATCGGGAATCTGGTAAGTCACCGCAAAGAAAGTCGCACTGGGTTCAGCAGACAGTCCAGGCTTCTCCACGGGGCAAGTCCTACTTTGTGAGGCTCCTGGCGTCAGTTCCCGAGTTTGTGCCTGGTGGTGGGACAATGGAGGTCTCTTTAAGGCACAGGTTGAGGAGGTCACATCATCTGCAGGTCTCTGTTGCTCTTTGGAAGTGTTCTCTGGCGTGAGGAGGCTGAACGCATCAAACTTCACATCGTGTGGCAGAGTCCGCCGCCTCCACCTGTCCATCCTTGGTTCTGAAGGGTTGGATCTACGCATTCTGACTTCAGGCTGGGCCAGCCTTGGGTTATCCTCACTGGCTACTTCAAGGGGACCTTTCTGCAGAGACAAGGAGTTCAGTCTTTCCTGTACTAGGGAGTCACGGGGTTCAGCGGTGGCCCTGGATGGAGGATTTGAAGAGCTATCCCAAGATGGACCTATTTTGGGTCCATCGAGATCTCTGCCGACCACAGAGGCGCTCTGCCAGCTTGTCACGACCCCTCCTGTCCATTTGGAGGGTGGGAAACTGCCCCCAAGTCCATCCTGTGGCTGTTTGGCCTCCTGACCCCGAGCTGCCCATAATGAACTTGCCCTCTGGCCAGCACCTCCATGAGCCTGCAGAGCACATTCCAGGTGAGCAGGGCTGACCTCCTGGGACAGCTGCCGACCCTGCAGTGAGAGCCGGGATCTGCCACTGCGTAGTGTCACCGCCTTCTCCTCGGGCACCCTGGAGACTGCTTCACTGTGAGCTCGCTCCCCTGTGGCATGCACAATGTCATACTTGGGCTGGATCCTCTGGGACACAGGGGAACTTTCCTGATGTGTCAGGACAGTATGACTGCTGTGCCCTTCTCCCATGGCCTGTGTCTCAGGGACAGATGTGGGATACTGTATTGGCTCTACATCCACAAGGACAGCTTGTCCCAGCATCCCTGGGTCAGCATGGCTGGACCACCTAGAGCTGTCTCTCTTGTTCATTACTCCGGGAGGGTCCCTTCCTAGCCAATAGCCTTTCTCAGGCCTGGGTTTGGGATCTGGGATGTCAGCCACATCATGAGGGGATGTAGGTGAGAGACAATGGCCTGCCTGGTCAACCACTGTGTGTCTCTCTACATGATGCTCAAACATCGTGGCCCACACCTTCTGGAAGCTTCCATCATCTTCTGGACTGACTTCAGAAGGGCCTGGATCTCCTGGTGAGTATTTACGCTGATACTTGTCAGGGTCCTGGCCAGAGGCATCTTTGGGTTCCGTCTGCCTAGTCTTCTGGGGAACCCCAGACTTCCAGGAACTTTTTGTGGTGGGGATTCCATCCAAACCATATCCTTCCGTACGCTGAAAAATGGCAGAAGGCAACATTAGGATTTGAAAAGGACAGGAACTGGGGAGGCAAATGAAGGGGCTTCCCTGTTAAAGAGCAAACTGTCTCTCAGATGGCTCGACCTGGAAAGCCCCTGCCACCCAGCCTGGTGACCTGAGTTCTACCACCAGAACCGAAGCTAGAGGGTGGGCGCTGCAAAGCGGCCTCTGACCACATGTCGTGATGCACATATCCCCCTCTATACAATAATAAAAACAAGTTAAACTGTTTAATTAATGAAGAAAAAACAGCAAGACACAATAAATGTGTGTTGTGAGGACACATCCATGTGTGTGCATATACACGGAGACCAAAGGTCAACAAGTGTCTCCCTCTGCTGTCCACCTTATTTAACAAGGTCTCTCACTGAACCTGGAGCTCACCGATTCAGCTAGGCTGTCTGACTAAGCGGACCCAGGGGAATCTCTGCTCCACAGCCTCAGCTCTGGAACTGTGGGTGTACTGCTGTACTTGGCTTTTTCATGGGGGTGGGATTCGAACTCAGGTCCCCAGGCTCGCACAGCAAACACTATATCCACCAAGCCAAACCCTACCCTAAAATACTCAGTGCTGAAGAGCGTACACAATATAGACAAACCAGCTTCTCAGACTTTGCAGGGACAATGCTGACGACTTACTGCGGTTGACTGATGTGGGAGATAAGCTCTACCATCACGCTTCCCATTTTGTTCTTTTACCACAATTTTTAAAAACCAGCAAATAGTATTTCTTATAGAGATGATCCCTGGTTAAATGTAAAGTAGGGGCTTATTAACCTCTTCTTTCTTGAGAATTTTTGAATAATCAAAATTTACAAAAAAATCGAATGTCCCTCAAGCCAAGCCCTGAGATCTAAGGACAGTCCCTACTAAGCCCCAGCTTTCTGAGACCCATGCTGCACTGCTGCTGTGGTACCAATGGAGTGGCCATCACTGCCCTTCCAAGGCAGCTCCTTTCCTTGGGGACTCACTGAGAGGGACAAGGCCTTGGAGAAGCTCTTGGTCTATTATTCAGAGGTAGCAGAAGTCCCTTTTGACACAGCAGCCCAGCAGCCACATGGCCCAGCCACGCCACTCCCAGGTATTTGCCCAAGCAAAGCAAAGCAAAGCAAAGCAAAACAAAACAAAACAAACTGGGCTAGGGACGTGGATCAGTTAGTAGAGTCCTTGCCAAGATCCACAAAGCTCTGGACTCCTCGTCCAGCATGGCCCAAAACTGGGTGTGGCAATACACACCTGTAATCCGAGCCCCTGAGAGCTAATTCAAGGGCTCAGTTACAGCCAGTTTGAGACCAGCCTGAGCTACATGAGACCACATCTCAGAGGGGAGGGGTCGGGAAAGGAGAGGGAGAGACTTAGAGACTTTCTAATAGTTCAGAGACTGGAAACCACCCCAGTGCCAGCCAAAGAATGATAGCAAACCCCACGGTGGTCCACCTCTTGGATGGATACAGCACAGAGGTAAAAAGGGATACAAGATGACCAACCTGAGAATGGTGACTCTGAACCAAGAGACAAGGCCAGATACACAAGCACGTGACTGTCACCAGCTCAATTGGTCTGAAGGTCTTAGAAACGGAAACCAGTCTCTACGGAGAGAAAGCTAACGGGGGTCTGCTTGGAGAAGGGCAGGCTGGAGACATCAGAGAGGCAGGGGTGGTGTCTGGGTGTGGTGTAAATGTTTGCCATCTCGAGTGGTAGCAGCTGCGGGGAGGACATGGTGGAAGCTTGCTGCTCAGGCTCTTTATGGCCGCATTCTCATGTCTGTCCCTTGCACCTCAGCAAAGACGTGTCAAAAGAAAGAAATATAAGGCCAGAGAGAGCATCAACCATAAACAGTTACGTGACCACGTGACTGGGAGCTTTGTTCTACGAGCCAGAGCAAAGAAACCTGGCTTTTGGCACTTGAACCGTTTCTGTTACTGGGTACTGAGTCAAGGGGAAGGGAAAGAACTCAAGGAGTGAACTGGGCAAGGTTTCTCTCAAGTTCTTGTGGCCTCCAGCACACAGACATCCACCTGCCTCTGCCTCCCTGACGCTTGAATAAAGCCACTGAAGAAGGTGCTCCCTCGAACTTTTTGCACAGAAAAAAAATAAAACAAACGCCTGCCAGGCGTCTCTGTGCATAGCCTTCGGCCCCAGCGCAGTGCTGACTTCTGCTGCCTTGGCCAGCGCCTGGCAGATCCCAAGCTTCTCCTAGCCGAGACGGTGCACAGCAAGCACACTTACCTTTTCTCTCCTCTCCCCAGTGAGCTCGCCACCCAGCAGAGCACATTTCTCATACCCGACCTCACTGCCGGAAGGTGATCGTGAGAACCTGGGACAAAGACAGAGTTACTCACAGAGTGACAAGCCTTGACTCCCTGAAGCCCATACTGTCCTCGGATTGGGGCCCAGATAGGCATAAACCTGGCCACCTGCCCAACTTCCTTTGAGAAAGATGGTGTCATTTGTAATCACAGAAGGCACAAGGAATTGGTGGGAAGGGTGTACCTTAGGCAGAGCATATCTGCATGGAAAAAGTCCGCCACCGGGAAGAAGAAGCAGGTGCCGGGTGCTGCTCCCAGCTCCACTACCTCCTCGTGGGAGCCCGGGTGGCCTGTGGCCTCACCTGAGCCTCTATTTCCTCAGCTGTAAAGCAGGGATAATTAACGCCTACCACCCTCTTTTATAGGGCAGACATAAGAGGCAAGCCATGACCCTAATAGCTCTGTGAAGGCGTTTAGGGAAGACTGAAGAAGCCCCGGGCGGGATAATTAATGGTTCTTCTTAGCAACTGTGGGCACAACACTCACCCACTGCCAAGGAGCAGCCACGAGACCTGAGACCCAAGACCCTGGGGGTGGTGGGTCATCATATAAAGTGGGGACACAGACTTGCTTCTGCTTCTCAGTGTGTCTAGTCAGTCGCCCCTCTGGGCCTCAGTTTCCCTACTTATACAGGGGAAGGAGGAGGGGATCCGAATCTTCCCATTCTGATCGTGTTCTCTGCAGTACAAGCCTGAACATGAATCACAAAGTGTCTATACAGTGTTTAGGGTTCAGGGTTGGGGGCTTGGGAATAAAGAGAAAGAAGAAAGGAAACGGGAGGGGGTTCCAACACATTTGAACTTGATCCCTACCAGGCAATCCATACTGCTGAGAGGGCATGAGTGTTCCTAATCTGAGACTCAGTTTCCCCATCTGTCACATAATCATGTGACTCCTCACAGGCACCAGGACAGCACAGTGAGACCCTGGGCATCTCTGCTGTCTTAGCCTGGGAATCTCTTTTCGAAATCTCCCAACATATAAACCAGTGAACCAGCATCTCTGGGGCAGGATGAGGGATGGCTCAGGGGTAAAGCCATTTGCTGCCAAGTCTGACGACCCAGGTTTCACATCCTAGACCCCTAAAATTAACTTTGGCCCCTGGCTGCACCAAGCTCCCAAGGCCTTAAGTCTTCCCTGGTGGGAAGCGTGGTCACAGTGGAAACAAGGCTGGAGTGTGTGGGGTGTGGCACACATGGAGTGTCGGCATTAGCCTCAGTGGCTCACTCAGTGCCCCCAGGACTCCCGTGCTGAGGGTCCCTCCATGGAGAGCACTGTCCACACTCTTTCTAGAGTCTTCTCCCAATCTTTGATGGAAGGTCCTAGAGAGGATTTTGGTTCTAATTCCTGCTCTATAGAGGTAGAATTAACAGGATATGGAGTTCGAGGTCATCCTAAGCTACCTAGAGAATTTGAGGCAGCCTGGGCTACATTAGATGGTGGCCCTGGTCATCTAGGCTCTGTTGGTTTATTTGTTTTTCAATATATTCATGGAGGCTAAGGCCTAATCTTCACCCCCACCCCTGTGTATGTGTGTGTGCCCGGGAGCATGCGCGTGTGTATGGGGGGGAAGGGATGATGGGGACAGAAGTGGGGGCTAGGGACAGAACCCAGGGCCTTGCATAGCGCCGTTTGAGTACTCTGCCACTGAGGCACACACCATCCCTGCTCTAGTTAAAGGGCAGTCTGACCCTGGGGGCAGCTTAGCCACAGAACCAGGCTGAGCTGGAACTGATCCAGACTCCCCAACTCTGGCTTCCCCACAGCGCCTCACCTTCTCACCCACACCTGTGAAGCAAGAACCTCATTTCCATCACTGTGCTCTTACAGTGAGTACCAACGGAGCCCAGCACCAGGGATGTCCCGACCTTCTTCTCATCTGTGTGTACCCTGAGAGGCATCACTACCATCACCTCCCCCGGGGTAATGGATGAGATGTGTGTGCAGGTGCTGGGCTAGCCCTGGGCTCTCCAGTGGGTGTTGAGGCAGCCTGAGGCTGAGCAAGTTTCTAGGATGTGTCTACTTACGGTTTGGTCAAATCCACAGACAACGGCCGCGCCTGAGATGTCCTTCTCCTGACCTCCGGCTTCGCCCCTGTGCTCTCCACAGTCCAGCCTTTGATCCGAGCCTGAACATTCACACCAGTTCTCTCCGACTCTGGCACTGTGGATGGGGATGCAGGGGAACTAGGAGAGGGCTCGGACACCACCACCAAGGCCACAGCAGTGTCTTCCTCAAACAGGCTGAAACGCTTCCTGATGGTCCCTGCAGACTTCTCTGTCCCTGCAGGAGCCTCCTGCTCAGACCCTCCACCCTTGACCTCAGCCAGTCCCAGGCCTCTTCCTGGCCTGGGCAAAGGGGACCCCAGCTCCTTCTCTGACTGTTGGTCTGGCCTTTCCTCATCCTGGGGAATCCTAGACCTGTCTGTATCTGTCTGTTTAAGAATTGTCCTCTCCCTCCGCACATGGAGCATCTTGGCCACCTCCTGGAAGTCTGAGTCAGGGTCCTGAGGGGTGACCTCCATGCGGACAGGGCCCTCTGCATTGCCCTTGGGCTGCACGCAGGCCTTCTCTGGGCCCTGGCTCTCTACTGGATTCTGCCCACCAGGCACCTTCCTCAGCAGCATCTCTCTACTCTCAAACACAGCAGTCAGGTCCACAGACAGAGGCCTGGGTTTCCTCACCCACGTCTTCTCCGGAGGAACAGGGGGGACCTTGCCTGTGACTGCCACTCCACTTGGACCTGGCTTTGGGGGCGGCTGGTACTCGCTGAACACTGCTGACATGGGACGTCTCTTCGGATGGGACTTGGCCTCTGGAGCCCGGCCAGCAGGGTCCTCCACACTGTGGGCCTTTGGCAAAGGTTGGGCTTGGCCTGCCAACTTCTGGGACACGTCAGATCCAGCATCCTTTGACAGGGAGGTGGGTCGGGGCAGAATCACTGGGGGCTTTCGAGCTGGGAGGGCAGGCTTGGTGGCCACCTCAGGCCTGGCACTTAAGGGAGATGCCTGGGCTATGCGGGAGCTGGCCTCCCGGCTCCCCTCACTAGTTCCTTTGCCCGGGTTGGGTCCAGGTTTGTTCGTTTCCAAGAGGCCCACAGTGCTGGGGCCAGGCCTCAGGAAGGTGGCCTTGTTAGATACAGACGGGCCATTTGGCAGGGGCTCTCCTCTGCCTGCCTCCTGTCCGGCTAAGCCCGGCATCCTTTTAGCCACATCTTCTTTAGCCTCTCTCATGTTGATCTCAGCTGAAGGACAGGACTGGGTGGCACCAGCCCACAAAGATGCGACAGGAGTCTTTTTCTCGAGGACCTGCTCCTTAAGGAAAGGCTTGGGAGCAAGGGGCAGAGGGAACAGGTGGGTCCGTAGGGGGCTTTCTGTACTCAGGACTCTAGTAGAGGGGGCCCCAGGGGCATCCCCAGTCTGGCCAAAGTATGTTCTCTTCAGGGCTTTCTCGCTGCCGATGTCACCGAGGCCAGGCCCCGCCCTCAGGGATGCAATAGAGCCAACTTCGACCCGCGTCACCATGGTTACGGATGTAGCTCCATGAGGATTAAGCACATCAGATATGAGGAAGCAACTGAAAAAAAAAAAAACAGTAAATTTAGCAAAGAGTATTTGTGAGACTCTGAGTGAGAGACAGAGAGACCTTAGACCCAGAGCCCCAGATCCTGATCTCACTGGGCAAGTTTCAGATGCACTGCCATCTTCCTGGGGCCTGGAAAGGCACAGACAGCGACCTCCTATTCAGAGGGGTCAGACAAAGCCCTAGGATCTGAGGCCTTGCCTGGCTCAGTCTGGAGTCCGGCTTCAGTGGACTCGGCACAGAAAAGGTAAGTGACCACCCTCCGCTCACACAGCCACCCAAAGCAGGAGGCCCCGGAAACACTGCTGGCGAGCGCCCCTCCCCCACCTCCCACGTCCTTGGGTTTTGTTTTATTTTGTTATTTTCACTCGCCCTATGTTGTCTATTTGCTGTTGGTTTTGCTATTGAACAACTTTTTATTTCGGCTTCCTTGCTTGTTTTGGTTTTGCAGGGGTGAGAATGGAACCCAGGGCTTCCCAAGCTGCACATGCTCCATGCGAGCCAGGTCCAGCCCCTTACAGTCTTAACAGGAGGAGTTCCGCAGTGGTTGGGAAGAGGGCTTATTGTGAGAGGCCTAGCTGCGCCAGGTGCACCTGGTACTCCACCCGTGTGCCCGTCCACCCGGCAGGCTGGTCAGCTTTGAGATCTGCTCTCAGGCGGGAACCCCCAAATCCTCCAGCAGCTGAGAGAGGTGGGGATGATGGACTATGTGCTTTGTGGAGTGGAAGAAAATGGGCCCAGAGAAGTCCCCAACTGGTTTCACTCAGCTAGAACCACACCTCCCCCATAATTGCCCATCACGCCTTGCCTTTTGTTGTTGCTGTTGCTTTTTGAGCCAGGGTCTCAGGCAGCCAAGGCTGACCTCTTGCCTCCGCCCACCAAGTGCTCTGACCACAGGGCAGGCCTCTCCACTGAGTTTCAGCCCTGCCCCTTTAAAATACAGCGTTTTATGTCTTTCTCACCCTAAAAAGCATCATACAAACCTCCCTGCTCATGACCCACCCTGATTCTGCTATGAAAGCCATCCCTTCTCAAAAGCCCCAGAGATGGCCCTGCCCCTCCATGTGCTCAGAAGGGAGACAGTGTCCTGATTAACCAGGAACCTCCTAGGCCTTGTGTGGTTCCTCCACGGCAACAAATGAAGACAGACAGATTTGGACATTTTTCTCTCCATCACACACCCCATGGACTAACAGATTCCAGCTCCCCAAGCCAAGGAGAACATTGTCTCCACTCAGCTGGGAGCAGAATGCAGATCTGGGAGAACTAAGAGCCTAACATCTTCCATCTGAACAGTGCCCAGGGATGCTCACTTCAGGTGGTCTAAGTCCCATTCTACAACTAGCACCCAGCCAGGACATGGGACACTGACAATGCACAAAGGACAGACAGAAAATTCCCCAGAAACCTCACCTTCCAAACATCCAGCCCCCAACTCAGTACCAACTTACCCAGGCTGTCAGATCCTCAGCGAGGGACACAGGACCACCTAGGAATGCCGGGGCGGGGGTCACAGTTCATGGTGAATGGGCCATCCACTCGTGCCCATGGCAGAAGCAGCAGGGAGAAGAAGGCTGTGCCCACAGGCTGTCTCTGCAGGGCTGGGGAGACACAGAAAGACAGCTTGGTTCCGGAGTTCCTTCCGCACAGACGGTGCAAAAGCTTTCGGGTTCCAACTGCATCCGCTGGCGTCAACTCCAGCTCTTAGCCTCGCATGTCTGTCAGCCTTATATATTCATGCACAGCATGCAGAGTGCTGGGTCCACACAGGTGCTCAGTAAATACCTCCCCTGCTCCCCAGATACATTACAGAGCACCTGCTTATGCACTGATATAAACCAGAGACCCCCTACCACCATGGAACTCATGGTTTCGTGTGGGATGCACTCAGGCATGCACACACACACACACACACACACACACACACTGAGACACTCATGCACATGCTTATTAAAGAACACATATACTCATATATGTACTCATACACCCCAACACACACAGTGACACATTCATGCACACACAAGCAGCTGTGACATTACACGGAAGAGCAGAGGTCTATAATGGGATGGGGAGCCTATGGACAGGGGTCGGGGTGGAATTCCACTGCTCCAAGATTGGTGCCTTTTGGCCAGTGTCCTCAACCTGCAGGAGGTAGCTGCTGAGCACTCAAGGTATCTACAGTCGTGCAAGGTGGCATACGCCTGCCATCCCAGTATTTAAGGAGGTGGAGACAAAAGGATCAGGAATATAAGACCAGCCAGGCTACATGAGACCCTTCCTCAAAACCAAACCAAACAAAAAGGTTTCAGCTGACTTGGCCACTCTCTCCCCTAGTCATGGCATCTATACACTGAAGCCCTTGGAGGCTCTCATAGCCTCCTCAGGGCCTTTGCACTTGCTGGAATCTATCTTTGGGATATGCCTCTTGATCACACAAATGTGTAAACCTTGGGTCCAACCCTTGGGCCACAGTTCAGACATGCCCAGTCCCACACGTGTGCTTGCAGAGCACCACAGATACCGGACAGTCCACGGAACTTGCTGCTAGACAGTCACATTGACTAGGATACGATCCTCACTCTATACTCAGTAGCAAGCTCACAGGGCACCCTATCCTCTGCACAATGGCAGGCCACAAAACAGTATGTAGTAGAAGGTCACTGGGTGTATATATACATACGGATAGTCGCTGGGTGTATAACTACACCGCGGAGAGTCACTGGGTGTATAACTACACAGCGGAGAGTCACTTGGTGTATAACTACACAGTGGAGAGTCACCGGGTGTCTAACTACACAGCGGATAGTCACTGGGTGTGTAACTACACAGCGGAGAGTCACTGGGTGTATAACTACACAGCGGATAGTCACTGGGTGTATAACTACACAGCAGAGAGTCACTGGGTGTATAACTACACAGCGGATAGTCACTGGGTGTATAACTACACAGCAGATAGTCACTGGGTGTATAACTACACAGCGGATAGTCACTGGGTGTATAACTACACCGCGGAGAGTCACTGGGTGTCTAACTACACAGTGGAGAGTCACTGGGTGTATAACTACACAGCGGAGAGTCACTGGGTGTATAACTACACAGTGGAGAGTCACTGGGTGTATAACTACACAGTGGAGAGCCACTGGGTGTATAACTACACAGCAGATAGCCATTGGCTGTATAAATAGTTGCCAAGTGAATAAATGAAAGGCGAAATTCTTCTGACCCTAATCCTCACTATTCTAAGGATAGCTCATTCCCAATCTGGGTTCCTGCAGCAGTCAGGACCTCAGAGTCACAGTGCTTATTTGAACACTCACCCACTAATCAAGAGCTCTGTTGTCAGGGTGGGTGAACCATGGGTGTCCTCCCCAGGGTAGACACCACATACACCTACTGTGGCCACAACCATGCTACCATTGTACCAGCATGACAATGCACATGAGGACAGAATGTGCCTCTTCATGGTTTTAATGGGAAGAGTGTCACCAGGGCAGCCAAAGGCACACATGGCCCTAAGCCAGCTCCAGAGGCCATGATGCAGAGGCAAGGGAGGGTGCATGAAAGCCAAAAGCAAGCATGTTGGTTCATAGTCTCCAGTTCTCTCTCTCTCTCTCTCTCTCTCTCTCTCTCTCTCTCACACACACACACACACACACACACACACACACACACACACACGCGCGCGCGCGCGCGCGCGCACCAAGGAGTCAATGACGTGGTGAGCAGATCCACGAGCCAAAGAAGTTTTAAAACCATGGGAAGGATACCTAAATAATTACACCCAATCTTAGAAGCCCAGGATTCTCTGGTTTTCACTGAACCTGTTGTAAATGGCAAGGAGCCCATTTAGATGCTTTTAAACCCAGCTTCAAATGAATCACATATGCTACGCCCAATTTGAGACGGCGGTCTCTTCCAGAACACAGCAGAAGCCCACTCACGCTGAACCAGCTGCTATTCATTCCTGGAGTGGCCTCGCTTGCTGTGTGTATGTGCAGAGCTGACACACCATGAGTAAAGCCAGGTAGCTAGGAGGTCCTTAGAAAAAGGAAGCAAACTGAGTCTAAGCAGGTGTGTGTGTGTGTGTGTGTGTGTGCGCGCGCACACACACACACACACACACACATGCATGCATACATTAATTGACTGGTTGATTGATTTCACAGGACAGAGGACTGAACTCAGGGTCTTAATCATGCTAAGCAAGGGTTCTCCCAGTTCACAATTCATACAGATCACAAATATCATGGGACACAGGCAGATGACAGGGATCCTCTGGGAGTCAGGAAACTGGCTGTACTAGAAGAACAGGGATCAAGCCAGCCCCAAGTGGAGTTGTAACAGTTGCTACCTAGCGAGTCTTCAGCTACCGCTGAACCTGGGGACCCTGGCTTTGGTCTCTCTGAATCTATTAGGCAACTTCACATTTCCACTCCATGCTGCTGTGTGTGGAGGAAACCACCAGTGGGAGGAATCCTCTAGCAACACCCCAGTGCAGGAAATGAGACAAAAGTCAGTGGAACCCTCCCTGCGAGCCCAGTACACTGTGGCCTGGGTCGGCACTGTGGAAGCTTTTGGTTCAAAACTAGAACTTAGCACAGACTCGGGCCTTGATTCATCGCAGCAGCTGGGGTTGTTCTGCAGCATACCACCTTCAAATGGATCTGGATGCTCACCAGCCATGTGCGGTGCTCTCATCTCAGTGCCCGAGTCCTGGGAATGCCACCATCTGGCAATGGACGTGGGCTAGGACTGACACCTTTTCATTATCTTCCACAACATGACCTCGACCTCCAAATATGCAAAGCCACCCTGGGCAAACCCATTACTGTGGGAAGACGTAAGAAGAGATGTAAGAAGAGTCCTCCCCATGGAATGGGGCTGCGGGGCACACAGATCTGTCCACTACAGATCCCAGGTGGCCCAGGCACAGCCATTGGGTCAGATGCCACTGGAGTGTGCCCATTCTTTCCTTGGTCCCCAGAATGGCAGCCTCATGTCACCCATCCCTGTCAGGGTAGAAGTACCTTCTCTAGGGCAGGGGCTGAGGACATAACAGTGGACATTCAAGAGGATGTGCAGGGGACAGTGGATATTCAAGAGGACAGGCAGGGAACAGTGGACATTCAAGAGGATGTGCAGGGGACAGTGGACATTCAAGAGGATGTGCAGGGAACAGTGGGCATTCAAGAGGATGTGCAGGGGACAGTGGACATTCAAGAAAACAGACAGGGGACAGTGAACATTTAAGTGGGAATGTAGGGCTGTGGATACAGACAGTGGTGGAGTACCTGCCTAGCAAGTGAGAGACCCTGTGTTTGAGATTCATACACACAACCATATGCACGCATGCATGCACGCACACATGTGTGCGCACACATTTACACACATACAAACACCAGGAATGATGGCACACACCTGTCATTCTAGCTCTTGGTAGACTGAGACAGGAAAATTGTGAATGTGAAACAAGACTAACTTGGGGAAGGGCACTAAAATACCACGGACCATCCCAGTCGAGCTTCCCTGGTCCTCCCCTGTGAGTGTGCTTCATGTCAAGTACTGACCAGCTTAGGAATACCACTCACAGGCTTATTTTATGGACTGTGTGTGGCCCCTCTCGAGACTCAAGCTGGCTGGGTCCTGCTGGGAGAGAGTATGGTCCACATGCCACCAGCCCAGAAAAGAGCAAAATTCAAAATATAAAGCGTGGCTTCTGAAGGCACTCGATTCCTGCACTGTGGGTCACCTGAGGAATCACGAGTTCATCTATTCTAAGTAGGGACTGTCTGCAGAGCCACACTCCTGCAAGAAATGGCTCCCCGGTGCCCCTGTCCTGGCCTCTAACAACATCAGACTTCCTTTCCCCTGTGTGTGGCCCTCACTGGATATTTGACATCAGTGAGGTCTGTGTCCCTCTGCCCGTCTTTCTCTCAACTCCTCTCCAGACAGGACCTAGTCCATGGGCTCTTCTCTGTGGCCCAGGCCAGCCTCTCCTGCCTCTAACCTCTGACCTGAGGGGTAGGGTCCAGGACCCTTGATGGACTCAGACTCAGCTGGAGGCTCACCAGCTCTGCTTCAACTTCTTATCACTCCAACAGGCATGTCCCCAGCACAGGCCAGCTTCCTGGATCCCAGACAGCATTCTGAAATTCCCCAACAGAAAAGCTGCCCACTTAAGGAAGACAGCCAGCAATTATACTGGGCAGCTGCCTACATGCAGGGGAAGCAGCGTTTCCAGGTAGCATGTCCTGTGTCCCTCTGTAGATATCATCCTAATCCACAGGGTTTCACTGCCCCAACCTCCCCATCCTGGCTCCCTCTCGGGCTCCAGCTCCCTGGGGCCCTCAGTCTACAGTCATATCCACAAAGGAGTGACAGGGACAATTATATAAAGGGTTTGAAGAGGCTGACAAGTGAGCCCCAGTGATGTGCAGTACAGAACTATTCCCGACAGCCCCTTAAAGATGGATACAAACTATCAGACCCCCAGGCCAGCTGCGTGTCTGCAGGGAGTTACAATCCATCCCGCTCCCTGTAAGTAAACATCCGCCTTTTCAAGCTTTGTGGCCAGTTCCTTCCTACAATTTGTGCTATTTTG